AATATCTAATAATTACATTATTCCATTTAGAAAATGTTTAATATATAATTTCTTATACGATATGAGTAAAATAAATTGAAAATTTTCAGTTCGTTAAATAAGTTTAAAATACAAATTTAAACATTGTAATGAACAATTATTCATTTCGTGATCTTTATTTGCTACCACAGTTTAAGTGATATATGTTAAACAAATCTGTCATTCAACGCACAATGTATTTAATATTAGGTTTGATATGTTACAATATAGATAGCTTTAAATTCGCTAAGCATATTAAAACTGGAAAACCATATAAGAAAAATATCACCAAGTTCATTAATTTCTTGATAAATGCAGGAAACCTACGGAACTGGGTATGATGGAAAACCTAGTCTTTACAGGGCACCCGACCATAGGAAGGCATAGAGCTAGACTTGACCTATCTTGTGGCATCTCCTGCAATGCGTGTCTACCAACTATCGAAGAAAGGACACCAGAACACCTGTTGTATCTATGGCCAGGTTTGGCCGGAACTAGGCTTTGCGCTGGCCAGATTCTTGCTTTTATAAATACTTTTGGCTGGTTTTAACTTGATCTTCTCTTTACTACACAGTATAACGAGGATTTGTGGATTCAAAATGGCTTTCTTAGCTTATTGAGAAGGATTCGGTCCTCTCTGCATCACACCTAACTAACTAATATGTGATTTATTACCAATGGTTATTTTTTTGTGAGATTACCGATGGGTTATCAAAAATTACCTCAAAAGGATAAGGTATATTGATCCATTTAGGATATTCGAATGAATTATTTCATATCTAAATGTATTTCATATGGATGTATTTTATTAAAGTTTTCTTCCTGAACCATAGAATGAACAATCCTGTTGTACAGAAAGTACATAATAATTTGTCAAAAAGAAAATTATTAATAATTCATCACTTTTATATAGTATCAAATTAATGTAGTTAAAAAATCAAATACGGATCAGATTTCAGTAGTTTGTTTGAAGTGTAATCCAAATACTTTATCACTTGTTAATATTTTAAAGAAAAAAGCTATGAACATTCTAATTTTCATTCTTAGAAGGTATCTTGTATAATACCTACTGAAACTTGATCAATGTTCAGTTAGTAACTAACTCTGTTATAGAACAATTAAAGCATACATTTTAATTAATATAACGTTGTAGGGCTGAAAAATTGTGCAGTTACTTATTGCATATATATTGATAATAGTACTCATAAAAGCTAAAACAGCTATTGCTAAGATAGAACTGAAAAATTCCATCTTAGCACTAAAAAAAATATATATATATATTTCACCTTATCCATAGAGAAATAAAAAGAATCTTGAATTACCCGTTAAAGGTTCAAAAACTCTTTAAATTTGTATTTATTTTTGTTTGTATACAATCAGTCAATCTATCTATCAATAAGTCAATTCATACAGAAACTGTTTATCTGTGGATTTGTGTAAGCAAACAGAACTCCTCCTATACTCAATAGAAATTTGCATCTGCCATTGGTTCAGATTTGTTGATTCGAAATCAGTGAACCACAACTCGTGCTATTAAATTTCTGGAAAAAGTCTTTTATCCCTTCTATTTGCGCCTCAGAGCGCGTACGCACCTAATAAAAATAAATTTGTTTACGAAAATGTCTGGAAAGTTTTTTTTTTCCTTACATACCAAATTTCTAGTTTTAGTTGCTTTTATTTCGATTTTAAAAATGTTTTTCATTCATTATAGTAATAAAAATGAATTGAAAGTCGAATTTCTACTGTTTTTTGCTATTTTTATTGCTTGAATAGCAAATTCTTTAAATGCAGTTGAACAAAAGTGCAGCAGAGTTCATTATTTTCCTGAATTTTTTTTTTTTTTGTAAAGAAAAGACTTTTTACTTGTTTATTGATTTAGTTGAAAATATTTCTCTCAAATCATTCAGATATTTCAGATAGTAATACAACTTGAACATAAATCCGAACTGAAAACACAAAAAGAGGAAGTCATTAGTTTTTCAGGTGTCGCCAACTATAGTAGCATTGCGAATACACTCAGAATTTCTATTTGGGTTATAAATGTATTGAATACACAAGAACTGAATACAAACACTACAGATACTGTTTTAATTCACATTTAAAAACATATTAATAACAAATAAGACTCATTTTATTAACAATTCATATTTTCATAATAGCACAATTTAGAAATAGAGAAGATTTTACCGAAATCAGGGGTACTCAGGGGATCGGAGATTAAGGAGCAATCTCACAATTTAATCTAAAGGCAATAAAAACTATATAATTCAATTTTATTTCTAAAATCTATTAAGGATTTTGATAAGGGACGCATTGGAGAGGATAGTCAATTTTTAAAAACATCTATGGATACAGAAATGATGAAAAAGTTGGTTTTAGTTTTTAGCACTGAATGTATTTAAAAATACTTACACCTTAAGATTATTGCGTTCTACACGCATATATTTATTTTTATTTATGTACCATATATACTATATATTTCTAGATTTATATACTTATAAACATCCACTGTATAAATAAAACTATTACTCTAGTTGTAATTATGTCAGTTAACTGCAATAAAAATTTTAAAAATATTTCAAAAAATCAATTTTTTAATTAAACTCCCTTTAGCATAATTATAGTTACACCACTGTCTTCCGATTATATAAAAAATTTTAAAAAATGTGATAATAAACAAATATTACTGCCCTATGACACGAATTCTATTTTAAATAGAAGAAATGGGTTCTACTTATTTCAAATTTTTAAATTACTGTTTATTTTTATTTAACTGACTACACAGCTATCTCGGATAACGACAAATATCCATCTCAATTAGTCTTTTGAAAACATCTATTGGTTTAGTTATTCGTATATAATTCTTGGACTGTCAGTGTATATTGGCTTTGTATATTAAGACAGCGATCGACAGTTCAAATTGGCCGGTTTTTAAATACTGATACTTAAATAAAGCATTCTTAAAATGAACACGTAGTCAGAAACAATCAAGAAGATAATACCTAAATCGTGGTTATATGTTTATATAATAAAAATAGTTGTTTTTAAGAACAAAGTCTTCTTAATCGATATCTTCTTCTTTTTCTTTCTCTTCTTCAATATCTACTAAGTATGTTTAATAGTGCAAGGAGATGAAGAACAGTTGGACCAAAGTCGCCCTTCCTTCTTGGCATCAAGCACACATATTCAATAGTGCAAGGAAGTTATGAACAGAATGGCCCATAGCCTTAGATTCCTAATCATGAAAGCAGAGCATAGATTAAATCTGCGTTTGTTTTAATGTATTTTTAATAATATTGCAAAAATTACAACAAACAAGTTAATAAATAAGAAAGACTGCAAGTCAATTAAAAAAATATAAGTTGTTAAAATGAACACAGATGGTATAATGTTATTATAGGTACATACCATGGTGACCCTGTTCGTGTGCAAATTTATGTATAAATTTAATATAAATATAATTCAATAATTTTCCTACACCTTGTCCTATAACAGCGAATCTGCATATTCTACATATTACCAGTAAAATTAAATACAGAAATTTAAACAAAAGAAGTGTTAAAAAAAATTTTGGAACATTTATTTTGGACTTTGTCCAAAAAGCGTCAAAAATTTTTGGATGCAAATAGTTTTTAGATGCTGTGTTTTATCTCTTAATATTATGTTATAGTCAACTATCTGTTAAAAAGCGCTAATGACACACTTATTAAAGATACTGTGGACGTTTATTAAAGGCCTCTGAGTACTTTAATATTTATACTTTAAACTAGTATCGCTATGGAAGTATTAAGCGCCTTTTCATACCTACTAAAAATAAAATCAGTGACTTTATCGAATGTGCAAGCGTATTTTATTTATATTATTTTATATCCATTATATGCTCAATATCTTATTACTTATTATATATATAGTTTGTTTTGTAACAACGTGGTTTAAGAACGGGAGGTTATTTCTTGGTTCGAGAAATGAAGAAAATCATATAGGTGGGAAACCATTCAGTATTTTTATATTTATATAAATATTTTAGTATAAATATGTATGTAAATATTTTAATATAAATATTTATATAAATATTTTAATATAAATATTTATAAGAATATTTGAATATAAACATTTATATAACTTTATAAATATTTGTATAAATATTTAAGAAAAATATTTATTTTAACACTTTTATCAAAAATGACAATATATATTTGTATTAATTATATACAATTTGGAATGTTTAGAATTTCAAATAAAAAATTTATTATAATATTATTTAAATACAAGTATTTATATAAATATTTATATAAATATTTTAATATAAATAATTTTATAAATATTTTAATATAAATATTTATATAAATATTTAAACATAAATATTTATATAATATATTATAATATATAATATTTATAATATAATAATATGCAATATTTAAACTTTATATATTTATATGAATATTTGAGTATAAATATTTATATAAATATTTAAGTATAAACAATTATTTAAATATCTAAGATTAAATAATTATATAAATACTTGAATATAAATATTTATGTAAATATTTGAATATGAATATTTATATAAATATTTGAATATAAATATTTATATAAATATTTGAATATAAATATTTATATAAATATTTGAATATAAATATTTATATAAATATTTGAATATAAATTTTTTTAAAAATATTTGAATATAAATATTTATAGAAATGTTTGAATATAAATATTTATATAAATTTTTGTATATTTATATGAACATTTATATAACTGTTTAAATAAATATTTGTATGAATATTCAAAAAAAATATTTATTTTAATAGTTTCATCAAAAATGGTATAAATTATTTTCATCAAATATTATATAAAATATTTATACCAAATACGACAAACATATTTGTTTGTATATATGACAATATATATTTGTGTTAATTATATATAAATAGGAATGCTAGCAAATATTTAGAATTTTAAATAAAAAATTTATTACTTACTTAAAACACACATTTCTTCCGAAAAATCCATTTTGAAATATTTAACTATATAATATTTTTTTTTTATTAATTTTTAATTAAGTGTTAAACAATTTTAGTAGTAAACAAATCAAAACTAATAAAGATTTAATTGTGTAATAAAATAGTGCAGACCCCTCAACAGCATGTATCTGTTTCTAACAACCTCTCCAACAAACACTTTTTCCTTAATTTTCTCTTACATTGTTAGATACATTATTGCACCAGAACTATTTTTAAATTTTTTTAATTCAACACGCCTACAATATATATTCTTTTTTTTTAATTTCGAAATATTTTTATGCAGTTGTTTTCATTTACACTGCACTTTCGCATTTATAATTCACATTTATAGGAATTCTTTTTTTATAAAATGCCACTTCATATCAAAAATATAATTCTGAATCATTTATTAAATATTTTGAAACAAATTAACAGAAATCGCATTGTCGCCGATATTTAGAGAAAAAAAAAAGAAAACACATGGAAAACGAACTAAAAACATCACAAAGTGTTGGAGCAACCAAAATAAATCCGACGCGGCCCACGAGATACCAACACTAAAAATTTTTCATTGAATTTTTCCGCTTATGGGTTTGTTGTTGTTTGTTGTTGTTGTTCCAAATTTATTATGGACAGATAATATTTTATATTTTTATAAATGAAACATTTTTTTTACTTCATATGAACCGCGTTTCATGGCTTTTATAAACAAAACGAGCGACTGAGAAAAGTAATAAAAGATTTTTTTCTAAACAAAGAGTGAAAACCGCATAAAACAATCTGTTTTACATGCAAAAAGCAAAAATATATGAAATAACTTTTACAGTTTTTAACACATCAAAAATCACTGAAAAATATTTTTATCAGTTTCGGAAATTTTTTATATTCTATTTTAATGCACTTCATCAACACCGTCAAATTAGCGATCACCTCGCTTGTCAAGACTTCAAATTTTCACTTGCTTTCAACAAAAAACCTTTAATGTTTTGATTTTTCTATAAACAAAAGCCGTCATTTTTTATAAATATTTTCTCTTCTTTAGTCGTCAAAATATAATCGACATAAACTATTAAATTTTTTCTTTATTAAATCTATATAATTTATTATTTATCATGAAAAAATTTCGACCGAAACGTGTGTGTTTTCCCCGAGAAGACGTAACTGCGAATGTGTTTGCCTTCAAAGCAGCTACAAAATCGAATACGGAGAGATATTTAAAATATTTACAGTCGCTTTCAAACTGTTAACATTCTGGAATTATTACATATGATCTTTACTGTTAAAACGTTATGTTATGTTAACATCAGAGAGCGGAATGTATTTAAAATTATAAATAAACATTGTAATCTCTCTTTTTATTTTATTTGTTAAATTTTTTCTTATATTTTTTTTTAAAGATATATATGTTGAGCTGCATAATATATGATCATAATTCAATGAAAAATTGTTTACAGCGCAACACCCAAGTGATCACAGACGCTATTAAGTAAAAGTGCTTTATACACTAACGATCTTTTCATCCAGCAAAGAAGAAGGGGAGAAGAGTATGATATTAACAACGAAGTAGCTGATCAGGTCAGATACTTCGTAGTTAAGTGGACCTGATCATTATGTTAGAACAATTTTAGCACATGTGGTAAACAAGATATGAAAACCAACATGTGGTATGGTTGAACAAACAAGTTGAATAAAAATATTTCGCCCTGAGATTTAGTTAAGATTTGGTTACATCAATCAAATTGTTTTTCAGAGCAAACGTAGTCCTACTAACAATGATCGATATAGAGCTTTTAGCAACAAATGCAACACACTAGAAACACGATTTATTGGATGATATTGTGTATATAAATGAAATTAAAAACAATGTATAGTTTAATTAAAACAAGTATTAATAATTCAAATTTGAAGAATTATTTGGTATTATCTAAGTAAAAAGTATATATATTATATATACCTATAAGTAATATGCAATTACAACATATATGAAAGTCTACTGCATTTAAGGAGCTAAACATAACAAAACTGCAGTACACACTAATAATAAAAAATACTATCATATACTATAATATATACATACATACATACATATTGTTTAAATAAAGAAAAACTGTTATTGCAAGAAGTGCTGAAATAGTTTTACTTATTCTTGAGAGGTAAACAACTTTCTATTGCATTTTTTCGAAAAGTATTTATCAGTATCTGTGGATCGTAAAAATCTAAATTTAATGATAGCACTAATATTTCTGAAATAAATTGTAGTGAGTAGAACACCTTTTCAATTGCATATGCAATTGTAGCATCAAGAAAAATTTTTAGATTAAATACTAGAACAAAAGTTCAAAGTAATCATAAAAAATTAGATAAACAATTTAATGACCTGTTGAAAAGTAATAAATAAAGAATTAATTGGATGTGCACCTTTAAAAATTTTACAAAACTATAAATATTATATTATATTGTTTACATTGTGTAATTGATGAAAATAGTGCTAAATATTTTATATAATTAAATTATACTCAAATCCAAGTGTTCTATATATTTCTTCTATTAATCTATTATTTCTTTTTATAATAATATATAGTATTTTATATTATAACTTTTTTGAACTATCAAGTATTCTAAATTTCTCTAAATTCTATAGCAATGTATATAAATATATATAAATATTTACTATATGTCCATTTATAAAGTAATGTATATATAAGCAACAATGTACATAATATTTATCGTTATTTTTTATATAATAAAAAACATCCATATAATAGTTAATACATAAAAAAAAATAAATTACAAATGTATAAAAAATAAATAAGAAATAAAATAATGTATACAAATTTATTTGATTAATTAACTAATTAGATGTACAAATTTATTTTTATTATTTTATTTTGAAAAAATCTTATCATATTTTCGAGTTCAAGCAACAGCATTGAATACGCATAAATACACAATAGTATTTTTTTATTGTTAATAAAATATTTTCTAAATTAACGAGTATAATACTAAAGTTTCTTTTAGTTTGATATACATATGAGCATATGTAGTAAATAAATTTGTATATATTTAAATATACATAAACATACATATAAATCACAACTTGTTGTTGGATGAATGCCAAAGAAACACCCTGTGATTTAGTATTTTCTAAAATCTCATTGAAAGATTTTATGAATATATAATATTCTTTTATTACTCAACACAAAAAAAGACTTTTTAAAAATTTAATTTTATACATTTATTGTATTTTTATCTTTTTAAATTAAGCATGTACGCAATGAAACATTTCAGCATGTCACGGACTGAAAATGCAGTGCTTCACAGTTTCCTTTTCAAGTTCAAGTTTATTTGTTTTGATGTCAGATTTTGTATTTTCAGAGAAAATTGCAATGTCAATACTGCTTTACACACGTTCCTGTCATTTTCACATTTAAAATAAATTCACTTAATATTACATTTTAATTTCATGGTTTAACTCACAATATTACAGAATTATAAGCAACGTGACTAAATAAAATTTGGGAGGTACGAGCGGTGCCAAGGGTTCTTTATTGGAAACTAAAGAAAGAAAGAAGGATGAATGGTTTTAATTAATATTGATATATGAACTTTATATAATTGATTATAAGACTTTTGAGAAACGGAAACAATTACATCGCATTATATTTTTAGTTAATATATAATATAATTAATAAAGCTTCATAAAAATCAGAAGTGAAAAATGATATCAGATTACCATTGGTACCCTGCCATATATGTTATAGAACTGGATCATTTATAACATAAATTTATTTAGATTTAGTTAAAATCTAATTAAACCAACCAACTATTTTTCTGAGTGTACTTTTATATATATATATATATTTCGAGTATACTGACGTAATGAAATTCTTAATATTTATTGCTTGAGATAACGGAAGAGATTGCATTTCATATGGATTATATTTTTCGATGTACTAGGATAACATCTGAAATTAATTAATTTGTTAGTTGTGTATTATTTTTAACAAATATTCATCTACTTTAAACCAAAAACTTTAAGACACCTTTATCAAAAATTTAAATAATATTAGTAATAAAAAATGCAAATTTTTATATCTAATTTGATGTATGCAATAGCCAATATTCCAATAGTTAATAATATAGTAAAAAGGTAATAGCAAATATAACAAATATTAAGACTACCATATATATTGTTCGTTGGTTGCAGTGTCAGGCCTTTAAATATCTTTTGTGTACCTCAATTTTGCACCGTTTTGCTACCACAATACTCACAGGAGGCTCTTATATAGAAGAGTAGAGACTAAATCCATCCCGTCACCGGTCACTGCAGATTGAATAATCACCTATCGAAGTTAGGAATTCAATCCAACTCAGACTGCAGATACTGCAGGGAAGAGAGGAACGGCATATCCATGTACTTGGGGGAATGCCGGCACTGATGCATAAGCGAAAGAAACACCTGAGAAGGGTATTTCATGGATCATAAGGATCAAATATTAAGAAAAAGATAATTAAAAGATTAAAAGAAAAAGATAGAAGAATATATAAGAAGAAAAATATAGTAAAAAGAAAAAGAAGAATAAGTAGAAAAGAAAGAAATATATACGAAGAAGCAATACTGGGGAAGATAGGATCGATACTGTCTGTTCATTAAAGAAATCGGACTTGGAGAAATACTCTAACCCGACAAAGGGGCACAATAGATCTTTTAGGTCGCAGTGCACGATCCCTTACTCTATAATACAAATCCATCCCGTCGAATTTAGAAAATTTAATAAGTCTCCCGTCTTTACCAAAGAACAGTCTGATAAATTCTCAAAGAACTATTTTCCTGAAAACCTATTACTTTTGGACGGCAAAGCCGGACATTCACAGAGAAGATATATTATGGATTCTTTTTGCTGCGGGTTTCAACAATTTCTGCAGCAAGGATAAACTGCATAGGTGCCAATGACCAGAAAGAACTGCAGTAAGTCTTACGGTATTTACACGGTCTCTTTTGATGAGTTCCGAAGATCTATTTTTATAATAGGTGG